TACGCAGGGGGAAGAATTGACAAAATAATTATAGGCAACGTGAGTGAGAACTTTGAGCATTTGGAGTGTACCAGGCCAGAAATCTGGAGCCATCTCGATCTCTTAAGATGCTTTTTTTCAGCCCTTTAAGTGAAAGGTATAAAGGGAGGGGAAGCTGGGAGGAAAAAGAAAAGTGAGAAAAGCAGTAAGGGAGGAGGAAAAAAAGCTGGCCCAGTCCCATCTTGAAGGTACAGAGAAAGTTTTTTTAGAGGTGGAGAGAAGGAAAACCAAAGCTGTTATGTACCCTAGGGATACAATTTTAGTGGGAATGGAAGATTTGAGTGGTAAGGGAGGCACAGTGGCCTCCGGGGTCTCTCTCTTCCAGCAGTTGGGCGGTTGGCACCTCAATTTGAATTGCTGGGTGAGTAGTGGTGTGTGTGTGTGTGTATGTGTGTGTTCGTGTCCGTGCTTGTGGTCATGATCATTAAACCTGTCCTTTTTTTTTTTAAATTCAGCTGGTGGGAAAGAAAAAAAAAAAAAAGAATAAATGATCAATTCAAGTTATGCCCTTTCTCTAAGTACTTTTCACAGCAGTTTTTTGGGGAGGGGTGGAAAGGGTTAAAAAAAAGATGGGGAGGAGAGAAAATCTGACTTCCATCACAATCTTCACAGTTCTATACAGGCAATGCAGACCCGGCTCCCCAAGTACGGGTGAGCAGGAATCTGGGATGGGTGGTGGGGTTTGGGATTTCTTCTAACGAATAATTTTTTTCTTCACCCACCAGGGTGGGCTCCGTTGGAAGAGAGAGAAGGAAAAGTGACGTTGCCTCTTAGAGGAGCTTACTTTTGAAGCTTGAAACCTTTTTGAGCCATCAGGCTTTTACAGTAGTAGGGCTTGTGTAAACTGTGTATTTTGGTTTCATATTTAATGCTAACTTTCTGTTGCTCTGTCTTTAGTTGTATTTATTTTTAATCTCCAGATTTAGATGTCGACCTTTTAGGGCTATGTGGTGTTGCGTGTGATGTTTGTATTTTCTAAAGTTAATAGAAAATATGTTTTGGAAACCTGAGCAAGAAACTGTTGACAGCTCATTGTGTTGTTAATGATTAGGAAGAGGGGCCTTTTGCAGTACAGATTTTGGGTTTAGGATACATTCATTATACTCCATTAAATTGCTGGGTCAAATCTTTTGCCACAACCAGTGCGGGCATTCTTTTGAATTTGGAGGCAATTCCTTAATTATCTTTATTATTCCTTTTATTATTTTTGTGCTTGTTGAATGGCCAAACAGAAACATTTGCACTGGTCCATCAGCTCCTGGATCTGATTTTTTGGGGAAAGGAAATGAAATATATATAGACTATTCTTTTGAATTTGGAGGCAATTCCTTAATTATCTTTATTATTCCTTTTATTATTTTTGTGCTTGTTGAATGGCCAAACAGAAACATTTGCGCTGGTCCATCAGCTCCTGGATCTGATTTTTTGGGGAAAGGAAATGAAATATATATAGACTATAAGAATCCTTATGTTTTCAAAACCATGAATTAAATACTATACATCATATTAAAACACAAAGTGGTTGATAGTTCTTTAGTTGAGTGTAGAGGGACAACTGGTGTAGGTCTTGGCTTTCCTTTGCAGCTGTGTGCAACTTTCTAGTTCAATCTAAGATTGTGTAAACTGTCACGAGTTGTGGGGAAGAGCGTGCAAGCTGGTATGGCAAAATGTGTAAGTTGCGTTGCTGCAAATTTCATACCCAGTGCAGTCTCCCATTTGGGGCATTCCTGAAAGGTTCCAGACCCTTGTTTACTCAAATTACTTGGTTACTTAATAGCAGTCCTGCTGCTTTGGTGAGAGTAAACCTCCATTCTTGATGTCTTTTATGAGAAGAGAGTTGCTTTGGAAGGGTAAATTCTTGACTCCAATGATACAGATATTGTGATCTTTGTATTACCGCAACAAGCTGCTACATCGGCGTTTTTCTGGAAGCAACAGAGCCTGCAACCTTGTATTCTTAGGAAAACCTCCCCTTTGTGGTTTGGGGTTGATAGGGGGCCTGACTGAGCTATGTAATGGAATTCTTTCCCTCTGCTGTATTTTGGAATGTGATGAAATCCTGACATGCCCTCCAGATTACATACTTCTGCACACATGTGAGGACTTTTTAAAAAATTGAACTTTGCCTGGGTCATTGCCTTGTTACTTTAAACTTCCAGCAGATCAGCTTATGATCAGAGGGCCCCATGCAACTCTGTGTGCATTTTCAGGTGTATCTTTCATTGAGGCTGTGGATGCCTCTTCAAGAATGCCCATATTTGGGACACCAACAAGGCAAAATAGAGTGGAACAATGTAGTTCTGCAATTGTGTTGCTCTTCCTTTCAGTCTGTCTCTGCTGAATTCTTGCTGAATCCCAGGGTTTGGGTATTTGCATTTTTTTTGCCATGTGAATGAAAAACGTTCATTTCTCTCCTCTGTTTACCTGCTCTTTTTTAGGGAGAAAATTTACCTGATCTCTGCAGGAAATAGCTGTTTTTTGAGCTTTTATCAGACTCTGTGGAACAAGCATGAGTCTTAAATACAATGTAAGATTCGAAAGTTAAACACAGGCTATACATGAAAAACAAAAGACATCATTATGCAGCTGTTCCTTATAAATAAATTAGGTATATCAGGTTTTGTTCACTACCTCTTTCTTGAACTCCCCAGGATGTGATAACCATTACACACTTAAAATTTATTCTAAATCAAAATTGGTGATTTCCTTTCCATTATATTTAGGAATCCTTGGATTTGGGGTTGTTGTGTTTGGGGATGGTGGTGGCCTGCAAACCATTATTATTTTTTTAAAAGTTGTTTTGGATCTGAGCTTTTGGATTTCTTCATTTTGAATAGGTTAGATTTATTCCTGGCTCTGTATTGCAGATCTGCTCTCTTGGAAACAGCGGTACCCTCTTACCCCATTCCCAGACATTCTCAGCAAACTCGGACACTTAACAAGATTGATCACGCTAACACCGATCATTTAAGACCTAAGTAGTAGAGATACATTTGGCTGGAGGGTGGAGGTTGCAAATTCCTGGGAAATTACTTAGGGGTGAAGTAGCTGGTTCTTCATCTCTGAGACCTGATGGGGGATTAGGACAGAGGGCCCTGTTGTGCCTGTCACACTCCCTCACTGACCTCCACGCTGAGAATTTTGTGGTGCTATGGCCTGCTCCTGGATGGAGGCAGGCAAGAAGAAAACCCTGGAAACTTGCTGGTCAGGGGCAAGCCTGGACTGGGTGGGCCAAGATGTAAGCTCGCAAGTGTTTTAAAGGTTAGTTGGGGGAGGCACAATGGGATGCTTTCTTTTTATTGGAAAATAAATGAGAATGAGTGGAAATAAATTATGTTTAATGAACTTAACTGGAAGTAATTGTTCAAGAGCCTGTGAATGCACAACTTTGCTGGGGCGGGTCTTGGCCGTGGTTTTCACAGAGCCAAGCAGCTGGAGCACATCTTTATTTTCCAGGTTTGAATGTTCCCCTTCCAGTGCCCACTTCCTACCCCAACACCTCCGGACCCCACTCCCACCCCTCCCCTCCTCCTTTTTGAGGATTAAGAAAAAGTCATTAAGAAGAGCTGCATTTGGCCCTCTAGACCCTCAGTGCTTGGCAATCTGCTTGGTGTGTTACCAGCTGGGTGGTTATAGGATAGAAGCCTCCTCCCCCTTCCCCCAACCCTCCAAAAAAACCACAAAGGCCAAGGACTTAAGATGGTTTGAGTTAGTTCCGTGTATATGCGTGTGTGTGAGAATTTGGATGAAAACTGACTGCACATTTACCCTCTCCCTGCCTGCCCCATTCAATCATTTCACTGCGAGAAGAATTTTAATGCCCGTTCTGCGTCCATGAGAAACTATGAGTTGGCAGAATTTTGCAGATGGGAAAGAGAATCTTCTCTCTTTCTCCTCTTGCTGTCTAAGTGTTTTTGATTCCAGAGAGGGAGAGAGGGGAAAAAAAGTCAGCCGTTGATAATTTTCAAAACAAATACACAGCACCCTTCATGTCAGGCTCTCAGGGGTTATAGAAGCTCTAACTGTGCAGTCTGCTGGATCCGGACGGTCCACACAGCCCTGCCAGGTGAGGCAGGCTCTGTGCCCTAGCTGCAGGGTGGATGTATCGCTTCTGCATCTCACAGGCAGATCTCTTTTCTCTTATCACCTCGTTTCTCCACTCAAACTCAAACCCCATGAAACCTTCTCTCTTTTATTTATTATTTTCAACACGCAGTGCTGTAGCTATATGACTTCAATAGAAGTCCTGTCTAGGGAAATATTGCACCATTAGCTGGGGGTAAGGCCTAGACAGAAAGGAGAAACATTCAACTATGGAAGGACCCTGGCCACTGCTCTGAGTGGGTCCTGGCTGGTTGGGAGTGGCAAGAGACAGGTTAAAATGTCCTGAAGAATCCCATTTGGAACCAAGAGAGGAAGTCCCACCTCTGTATAGGGAAGAGGTTCACAGGATGCAAAAGTGAGATCTTCTGATAAGTTAGGATGTGCCGAGCATGCAGGCCTGGATCCAGGTTGCTCTGGGTGTGTCTCCTGGTGGTCATTCCATCGCTGAAGTAGTTGCTGATTATTGGGGTAATAGGTCATTGGGCCAGGAGTTACCTTAGCTGACCATTCTGTCACCCTCTTGTTCATAGCCTGAAATGAAATGGGACTAGTTGAGTCACCAAAGGGTTGTTGATGAATAAGAAACAGCCCCTCCTTCATTTCATTCCCGACCCCTCCTCTTCATCAGCTCTCTATGGCTCCAGTGACGTGAAGCATCTATTAACATTTTACTAGTTGCCATTGGCCTCCGTGCAGCCGTGGTAAACAGCATATGGAAAAATGCATGGAGATGAACTATAAACCCATTTTTATGTGGACCCGGAGTGAATGGTGTCCCTTCCTGATGCCGATTTCAGCCCCTGGGAGGGCTGGCAATTTAAGGCCACTTGAAGACCTTCCATATCTTCCCTGAGGAGGGGGAAAGGCTGACAAATGCTCCTCTGTGCTGCTTTTGTTTCATTGTGCTGGGCTCCTAAAGGCACTTTCTGGCCCCATTTTTCTTCTGCAGAAAGGGAGAGCAATAGGGGAGTATTGAAGAGGAGAACTGAGCAGAGACCAGGGCTAGCAATGGCTCTATTTGTTTTCAGTGTCTGCTGATTAATAGGTTGCAGAGGTGAATGGCAAGCTTTCATTGCCTTTAAGTCGCCCACAGTCATAGACGGTTGAGGGCTCGGGGTTAGAGGGGGGCTGGCAGAGGGATCCAGAAGTGCCTTAATCAATCTTTCACTTGCCAAGTTCCAAATTATGAGCAGCATTTGGAAGGGTGTGTGGGCACTTGGCGATCAGGGTGGCATGGCCAAGTTGCAGAACACTATA